TTTTACAGTAGTGTCCATATTTGTCTATCAGTAAACAACACCTGAAAACTAAACCATTATGATTATTGATTCGCGTTATTAAAATTTAAAGTGATGGGAATTTGCAATAAGTAATTGAAGAAAGAAATTTGAGAGTTGTTATTGAAAAATTCCATTTTTAAAATTTAAGGGAACAGTGGATTGTGGGAGTTCCCTAAAACAAATCTCCGTTGTTGTTACATCACGAATGTTTTGGTCATTTACATGCCAAAATTCGTGACATTACGTAAGTAATGAGTACGGCGGTAGTGGTAGTACAGTAATGGAAAATGGGCACGAATGCCTTTTAAACATTGTAACATACGCGAAGAAGAGATGTCTCCTCCATTACCCTAGGTTTTACAATAATTTGTATAATTGAACGTTTTTTTCTTTGTTTGATTTTTGTTTTGAAATTCCCTTCTAAATGAAACTAAATATTTAAGTATATGAGTAAAATGTGTGAAAGACTATGGAATTCAGTGAAACACAAGTAGAGAGGAATTCAGATAGTGTAATATTTGTGATCGGAAATAACTCAGCAGAAATATTTTTTTTTCTAATTTCCTCTAAACAGTCGAGTTCCGGTTCGATGATCTGCTGTAACTCTGGTGGGCGCCACGCGCCGCGCTTCGCTCGCCCGAAAGGTGGGCGCGTTGCAACACGACAGTGCACGGCTCGTTAGCCGGCTTTATTTACACCGACAGCCTAATTAAGAGTTCACACATCGAAAGGCCGCGGCCTGCCCGCCCCGCCCCCGCCCCGCCCCGCCCGCCTCCGCCCCGCCCCGCCCGCCCTACCCCTCACCTACTCAACCCCTCTCTGCCCTGCTCCGTCCGCCTCGCTCCGTTCCTTGAGTTCTCCCTGGTCTTTTCGCGCAGAATTCTTAATCTGCTCTACCTGAAATAATTCCACTCTGGAGCAGCACGACCGAGTACAGACCGGCGGCCTTGCACCGAGTTTAGGCTGCCTCCGTCTCGGAATTTATTTCTCGCAAATAGTTTGTAGAAGTGTTATCAGTGTATATATAAAGTTAGTTAATGAGACTGTCAGATTTTAATTTTGAATTACGAAGCGCTGAGAATGAGTTTTGGGTTAGGGCTTCAATCGATGTGTACCTGGGTGTTCTTTTATACAGCTGATATGTCGCTTTAGTCTGGAATTATTTGAAACATACTAGTGGGTATTTTTGCTCTTAACGTCTACAACAATGTTCCAAGAATTTTCTCTGGAATAGGTGCCTCAGGGTATTAACTGATGTCACTGCAGTGCATCTGACCGACAGGTCCTCAGTTCGAGTCACGACGGTGGCTGGATTTTCTAGCTAGCGAGATCGAATTGAGTCACTGACTGGAGGAGAATTCTAGCATCCGGCTGCTCTGGTCGACCGTTTTCCGTGGTTTCTTTAATCAGTACCAGGCTAATACCTGAGCAGTACACTAACAAAAGGCTCACTGACCGAGCGCCATCTTTCCTTCCCCTTCTTTGTCACCCCGTACTTACTCATACTTCCATGCACTACACTACCATACATGGCAAATCAAACAATTTCCAGCTCTCTCTCCCTCCCCACTCTGTACCCCCTCCCACTCTCTTTCTGACCATACACCTCTGTCAATCCACACAATCTCATTCCATCACTACCCTTTAAACTAATCTCAACTCTTATCTATCCATATATCCATATTTCTTTTTATATAGCCAGCTAGCAAGAATCTTCAATTGATTACCAAAGTCAAATGTATGATGTAACTCCTAAAAATATTTAGGTCGGGGGTTTTCAAGTTCATATTCTGGAAACGAATAAAGCGACGTATCAGTGTGTATATGTGTGTGTGCGCGCGCGCGTTTTAATCTCTCGCCTACGATGTTCTTCTGGTGAACAGTCCCTACTCTGCTTGCGTAGGGATAGCCGCCTGCGCCGCGACTTCTTAAGCCTTAAGCCACAGACAGACAACGCGGCGGCGACGACGGTAAATCACGGGTGCTCCGGCCACCGCCTCCTCCGCCCACTCGGCCTTCGTGGGCGCTGCCAGCTCCGCGCCATCGCCGGCATCCTCCATCTTCAGTTGCCTCAGTACAACAGCAGTTGCCTCTATAGCGACTCTGACCGAGAGATCCTAGGGTTCCAAGTCCCTACGGGGGTGGAATTTCGACACCAGCTAGATAGCTAGGTTGCTTTCTCAGCCGGCTGCTCTCTTCGATTGTTTTCCGTCGTTTCTCCAATCACTACTAGGCGTATAAGGAAGCAATATCCTAACAAACGGGCCATGGTCCGCGCGCGATATTTCCTTCATCATTCTTGTACCCTTCTCGTCCCTCACACATACTCACTTCCACTTACATGCACTACACTACTTTACATATTGGGGCTTAGAGCTTCACCTGGCTGGGGTGGTGTCCAGCTGGCGAAGGTACCTGGAGAGAGAAACATCCCCAAAATATATAGGTCGGCGCCGAAATGTCCGTTTAATGGGGGAGGAACCCCGCCACCTCCTACAATACAACATTCACTTCACTTACGGAACTACTGAACACAGCAGTTCATACGCCCGAAACACAAAATGATGGATCAATCAATCCACCTCATCCACAGCCTTCGCTGATGTCGTCCACGTCGATATCCACTCCTCCTTTGCCGCTGATTTCGCCCAAGCCGCCACCCTTGACGACGCCGCACGAAATATTATAAAACTGATCCGGATAGCGCGACTGCTCAGCATCTTCCTAAGCAATCATGCGTTCTTCCTTTCCTTGATTTTCTTCCTTTTTTGACACCATCCAACGTTAGTCAATGAATGGTCAAATGCGGGAACTTGGATTAAGACTGTCAGAGGTATCAAAAAGGTTCCTGGACTGTCAGAGGTACCATTCTTTGCTCGTTTCTTTAATGTTTACCCATATCATGTTGACTATAACTTGGCTCACTTACGGAATAATTTACATGTACTGAAATAATTAACCTGAAGGTTAGTCTGTACTTCATGTACATATTATGATTGACACCAAATTTTCAAATTTCACTACAGCAATATTTCTTTTAGTTCATAAATGATCAGTCAGTGAACGTTGACTCTTAAACATCAATAACAATTTTTAAAAATGATTAAAAATAAGATTTCTAGTCTTTAATTACAAGCACATTCTACAAAATATAAGAAAATGTCATTCTTGACCTTAAGCGGTTTTTGTTTTCGGTTGGGGTCTATGAAAGTGAAATAGTACCTATGTTACCAATGTCCAATGCGCAGAAAAAGAAAAAAACAAAACACTTTTGTGGCCTCCAACCTTGTGAAAGACGTCTATGATTTCGACAGATACCAGGAACTCGGGAAAGATCCAAAAACATTTATATTTTAATTTTCAATGGACGAAAAATTGAAAGAGAAGTATGCAGCCTCCGGTCATGTGAAAGATGTCTAAGGTTTCATTTGATACCTAGAAATTCGGGAAAAATGCAAAAATATGAAATTGTTTACATTTTCATTGAAAATACAAATATTTGGGTGTGTTATTACGCCTTTTCTCACACTGCACGAACCGATGTAATCCTCATACTCGGTGCATCACTGCTTACAACAGCAGAGGTTATACGAGAACAACAGCAACGATCCAAGAAAGTGGCCACCCGCAATTAAATACTCGTATTTGCTTTTCACGTGTGTTATGAATATAACTTTTTATATATTCTTTGTATGTAAAGAACGTTTTTACTGCATATCCGTGTATACTTTACGGTGTTACAGCAGTATTCGTGATGAAGAATTGTATTTGTTAAAATATTTAATTTATTGCAGACGTTGTTGGAGATATTTTATTTGCTGTTCTTGAGCAGTGGCTAGATACTTTCTGAACACAGATTTTCTGTGGTTTTGTTCAACAGCAATTTTCGCTGCTGAAGATTACTAGTTTTTTTAATATTTCCGGCCTTAATTTTAATGCTTATTCAAAATTTAGGGCTAAATCATTTTCTAAATCCATAATTGTATGTAGTGCCCAGAGCATTAGTACTGGGAATATTGTTTTGAGTAAAAACTGACACACCTATTCATTTACATTGTTAATTTGTTGTGGAATAGATTTTAATTACAAATGTCATATCATTTGATTATAATATTATCGTGTCATTCATAGAAAGTCATCGTAAGTCATTCATAGAAAATATTCAAATATGTGAAAAAGACAGCCTCCTTCTTTCAAATGTCCTGAAACCTTCGAATTAGGTGCTAATTGGACTACCTGAAAATTCTTATTTTAAAATGAAAGTTCTGTCGTGTCTGTTCTTCGAAAATATTTCGAGTAAACATGAATGGAATGTGCCGCTTCATTGCTATCGCTAACATTTCGATAGTAAACAAGAGCTCAGGAACAAGGAGGAAACTGGGTCAATAGGATCGAGAGTCAAGATCGCACGTGACTCACTACCTATTCACACTTGCAGATACACAAAGTAAATGAAGTTCATTGTTTTGTGATGTAAAAGAAATAAAACCAGTCTTATATTTTATTTTCTTTCAGTAGACCAATATTAAATAAACTCATTTCCACTTTGAGAAACGTGCATTCCTTGAATTTGTCTTGAAAGAGAATTTTAGGTGCCTTTTATGGTATTGCTCCGTGCCAACGAATCGGCAGCCATATTGACTTGCCATCCTTCATTCTTTGAAAAGATGTTCGACAAATATTTCGTCGTAAATTGTGTTGCACATTAGATGTATACTATGAGTACATTCGCTTCCAATTTCCAGTTTTATGTTCTTCTGAATAGATGTTAAGCGCTCGTTTTATTTTTGTTGAAAATGTACTGAAGATCGTTTCTCTTGCATACTTGTTTCTATTATTCACGAAGTACACAAAAATCCAATAATGAAAACGATTCTCAAACTTCGTACCTCGATTTCTTTTTCTTTCTTACGAAAACATTTATATCTGTGTAATTTCCATCCCAGAGTTCTATTGAACATCATTCTGTTTGTTCGCAGCGATCTTGCACCGGCTGTCGGTGAACAAGACGCAAGTGAAGATACAGGGGTTGGCTACGTGCCTATTCCTCTGCATGGACAGCTGCGGCCTGCTGTATGGCTCGGTGAGTAGCTGCAATGTGAATTCTACTTAAGTGTTCATATACATTTATTGTGTTTAAAAGTGTTTAAAATGTATTTGTTGTATTTTAAAAATACATTTATTAGAATTAGTAGTTTCATTCCGAGAATATGTTTACACTTCTAGAAACGGGAAATCCTTGATGTGATACACCTGAAGTCGATGACGGAAATACATTGGAAGATAAATACAAATATAGGATCTGCCGCCACACAACTTTTATCATCGTGAATTATTCTTGTGACGGTCAGAATTTCATTTCCCACGGATTCCCAAACTAAGGAAAGCTATCAACAAAAAAATGTTAGTTACAATAATTGCGTATATTACATTTCGCAATTAATACACTCTATTTTTAAAGCATTTAATTTTCAAATTCAGACATGTCTTTTTCACTTTTGTAAATTTAAACGTTTTTTCATGCTACTTATTGATGTTGACGAAGCAGTGAATTATTAGTGCTAATTTTTTAATCACTCCGTAGTTTTGTGTTCATGTTCTTTAAACGTAGAACAAAACATGGTTTATTACATTGATTCTGAGTACAAATCTCGAAAATGTTGCATTCTCTTGCGTCGCAAAAATTTCGTTGAAATCTGATTAAACATTGAACCATCACGAAACTCAAAAGTGGGATATAATTACTCTTTAAGTGATGTCCTTACAAGTCTTGACCAGAATCTCTTAGAGAAATTTGAAAACTTACGACTCACAAAAATTGGTCTCGAAGAATTTTCTTCTTATTTTAAATAGACTGAAGTGTGTTTAATACCAATAATGTACATAGTTTAGTTCTACTTACCGTTGGGAACATAGAAACATAAGAGCCTTGTACTTCCAGCCGAAACGTCTGCTCTTCTAGTCTAATTTACTTCACTTGTACGACTGACTTTCTAAGTAAGCTACGATCTTCTCATACTTTTAACTCTATTTGTTTATATCATATTTCACACGACACATGAGCCTCTAGGCTTCATCTGATGTCTCTGACCATTTTTGGAATGTAGTATTTCTTGTTCTACTTTTTTGGCTATTTCTCTACGATCGTGTCCTGCCACATAAAAATACCCTTCTTACAAAGTTTCTCCGAGCAGAGCAGTCCTTGGAATCTTGGAACAGGTTTGGTTTTAATATTAATGTCATATATAATTGATATTCTTCTTGTCAGGACTTCACACGATATGGAGGTTAAATCCCGACCAATTTGGAGTAGCTCCCCGAAGACATCTTGACAAAGTGTCTTTTAATTCGAAAGATGTACGTTCTTGATTGATCACCTTCACCATTTGACAGGTGAAAGTTATTCCAATTTGATCATATTATGGTGATACCGTCCTCCAGAATCAATTTTGTCGGGCGGGCCGAGACGATGGGGACCCACATGAGGGTCCGTCGACGAAGGAATTCGTCATCTTCAAAGGTCATTGTGCGTGAACACTTAGCGTGAACGCTATCAACCACGTGGCTCAGATAACGTCACACAAGCACGGCCTTCGTAGGAAATTTATTGTTCAGTAGACAAGTAACTCAGAGGAATGGAGACAAGTGTCGACAGATGGACAATAACTCGACAGTTACATTAGTTTCTCGCGGAACGTAATTTTCCAGGGAGTGTCACGTACGGTTTCTTCAAGTGCACATAGCGAGAAGCATGGGAACCTTCACAGAGCGCTGGCGCAACGGGGAACGACATGTAAAATTGAAGCAATAATTTCTTCTTATAGGACATCGCCAGAACGTATTTAGACGACAGAACAAAGCAAGGACTGCTCTCATAAAAATAGTTTCATATCGATGCAACAATTTGTCAACAATCTGTTGTAGCCTGTGCATGTTTCTGGGCGGGTGCTGTTCTGAGCAAACAAAGAACATCCTCTTGTACGCCAAGCAAAACCTGGAGCTGCGCTCACGTGCGGCCACGCGGAGCGTGCGGGCGCGAGGCTCCTGTTGTGCCCGGGGCGCGCACTGTGTCAGGGGGGCCGAACCGTGGACCTTGGGCGCGCCGTAAGCGGCCGCCGTCGCCGCCGCCGCTGCGCTGATTGAGGCCGGGCACGTGACGACGGCGATGCCGCCCGCAGCGCCGCACGCGCTTCGTTTGTTCGCCAGATAAGGCATTATGGACAATTCCCCGAAGTCGCCCCCGCTGTTCTCGTTTCGACTCCTTCGGAATCTTCTACTAGCCTCTGGAGCCCGGCGGACCTCCTCTGGGCGGAGATTGGGTTCGGCAGAAACCCCACCTGGAATCCGTCCGTCCGTCTGTCCGCCAAACGAATCGCATGCAAATGGTTTTGGCGGTCTTTTGTCCACCGCGCGCGTCAAGGAACGTCTGATTTTCACGTCGGTGATGGAGAGCTACGTTTTGCCAAAATATTTCCCAGAGACTGCGAGGATTTGCATACGTGGGGGAGCCATGTCGGTGCTTCGTGACTGGACTGGCGCGAGGTAAGGGTGAAGAGTGGAATCTTACGAATTCGGCTTGGAATGCTATTGATTTTAGCATTGATTTTCTTCTTATTACGGATCTTGTCTCAACGTCTGATGGGCACACAAAGCCTCGGGTTTGGGATAAGATTTTAAATGAACTTCGCGTTTGCTAATGAGACATATTTGGTTTTGGAAGTCAAAAACAAGCAATCCTGAAAGAATGATTTGAAAAAAATTTGCGAGAGAAAGAGTCGAATGTTTCAGGGTTTTGGTAAAATAATGTTTATGGATATGACTAACTGAATGGCTGTTTAAGACTCAAAATTATTTTCTTCGTTGTTCCTTAACCACATACTTTCATAATCATTTAAAAAATATCATCAAATCAATTTATATGCGTTCTTGAAGGTAATTGGCAGTGAAATTTGAAGATAATAAGGGAATTTGGGTTAAATGATGACTGTTGCGCTGGAAGTCAATAACTATTATAAATGTAAGAATGGAGAACGTTGGAATAAACGGTGGCAATCTGAGTTCTTCGCGCTATAAATCAAGTAAATAAATACGTCCAAATGACAGGTGGCCGAGAGGGAATGTAAAAGCAAATAGACTCAAACCCACCGTACAATCGTCGAACTTCAATCTAAGCATCCGTTGACAGCGTCTTCACCGCTGTAACCGCCTCTGGCGATGACGCTTTCATTGCCACCTTCGTAATTCCCAGTCCCCAAGAACCTCGATTATCCACTTCCTCTGTATACCGACTGTGGACACCGCCACCGCTGCCATTAACAGTAGTGGTACGATCACTAGACACCATTCCCACAACCATCACCACGATTTCCACAACCACTCCCCCTTCTGCCTCTACACCTTCAGAGAGTCTGCTGCCTCATCTCTTCCCACTGCCTAGCCTGGGCCATCGTTGCCGCGAGTGCCCCTGCCGTCATATGTCATGGGAGAACCCGGGGGCGTGATTTTCCCCGCACCTGGACGTGGAGCTTTCATCGCTCGATCGGTCGCCCGAGATGGCTGTTGCTCCGCGGGCGCTGTCCACAACTAAAAGGCCCAGCAGTGGCAGGGCAGCTGGCGGACACGGTTTTAACACGCGGGAAATTGGAGCGTAGCCCGATTGAGCTCATTATAGTGCTGTTTACTGCACACAATTTCCTGCTAGAGTCGACCTTTTTGTGAACCAGCTTTGAACTCTCAATTTCCTGAAACGTTTCAAATTTTAAGCATAGGGATTTTGTTTACGTTTTATATTTTCTTTCATTTACTTGAGTTGGACTTTCTTCTATTACCTTAATCACTACATTTTATATCCCCATCGACTCATTTTACTATTCCATTACCATACGTTTGTATTAATTAATATTTGTGTCATGTATTTGTGCTTCTAATTTGAAGTATGGTATGTAAATCATTATTTGAGCATTATGATTTTTTTATCGCCACTTCTTTCTTATGCACATGAGTTCATAGGTTTTTTGCCTACATGCCCCAACTTCTATTTGCAACCAATCTTTTCTTTCTGCCATTGGCCATCATTTTTTTTCCCTCGGCGCACCAGCCGCCGACAAATTGGATCGGGCTGTTGACACGCCGTGGCGTGCCGTTACCCTAACAGCCGGGCGATAAGCGCGCGCTGGGCGCCGGCGCTGTCGGGCGGTGCCGCGGCAGGCGCCGATAATTATTAAAATGAAACTCTCATGCGCGCGGGGAGCCGGTCGCCGCCGCCGCCCCGCGGCAGCGTCTTCCGGGAACAGAGGGGGGAGGGCGGTGGGAGGTGTAGCGGGCCAGGGGGAGCGGTTGGGGAGACGGCGCCACTGTCTCTGGAGCAGGTCCCTGAGAACGCACCTCGGAGAACGGGCAGAAAGCAACTATTGCTGCCGTTTTCTAATGCGACACAAGGAGATGAACATTTAGACTTCGTTTCAGAAGAGAAACATGCTGCCAGAGAGAAGCGGTAGACTTGTATATGCTAACCCTAATCTCTGCCTTGAAAAATACTGGTGTCGATTTGATTGAAGTTGGAATTGTGTATCATACGGATCAGTTAACTGTACTCCAGTTTTCACATAATACCGAATAATATAATTCAAGTAATACCGAATATACTCGCACTACGAAAGAACGTGTGATGCAGAAGTTTGTGAATCCCTAACATTGGTAATCATGAGAAGTTTTCGGGTATAATATCTAACGCGTTTCATGGATAATCTTCCATCCAAATGGTTTCGTAAAAAATTCGTTTGTTTCGTATGTATCATGATTTCATTAGGAAAGTCAAATCATCAGGCACTAAGCATTTTCTAGTGCTAAATGTGATAGGTCTTCCAAACTGCTTTAATGAAACAGAATCCTCGGAAAACATGAATTACGAGCAATTATTTACCATTTATACTTTGAACCTCACGAATTCTACATTTTGAGGGAAATTATTTACAGAGACGATGTTTCCTTTAAATTTTTCACGAAACAAGTCTACCGTTTTAAAATTGGCAACAGAGGGCTGCATTTTATCCGCACCAATTAGGGCGTTAACAAAACAAGCAG